AGGAAGAAAACAACAACTCAGGCTCAGAATAAGGGCAACTTGGAACAAGATGCGACTGCCTACAGACTCTTGTGCTCTAGCTGGCTCGATGGTGGCTGGTATTCAGAGGTGTGTCGATTCTCGTTCGTCACAACCAAGCTACCCAAGTATCAAAAAGCGGTCACGATGGCGCAAAGTCAACAAGTACGAAGATCAGAAAACAGCAAATGCGTGGATCGAGAAGAGAAAGTTCCGCCGCTCCCAAACAATAGGAGATCCTTGAGCTTCCCCAGAAATGTGAAAACAATGACTGGCTCTCTTGAAGAACGAGGCTGACCTTTCTCAGCCTCGAGCGGCGGACCTTCCTCCACCTCAAGCTTCGTATTGGTGAAGTCAATGCCGAAGAAGGTGCAAATCTCCTCGAGGAGCCGGCAGTCCGCCCGTGCCAGAGCCCCCTCCACAATCCGCAGCTGGTCCCCTGACGCCCGCCACTCGGCAGGGGTGTAGCGGTTGTGGACGTGCTTCGACAGCTGCTGGTACACTTGGGTCAGCCGTCTCGCCACGTCCGCTGAGCGCTTGCTGCCTTCGATGTGCTGCGAAAGCGCCGTCAGGAGCGGGGCGTACGCCGCGTCGTTGAGGACTGACTCGAACTTGCGCGTCCGAGTGACGCGCGCAGTGGACGGGTTGGTGGCGGGCGGCAGCGTCTCGTAGAGGTCATCACCAACGTACTCTGCAAAAGCGAAATCAAGCTACAGTGATACTCAATCAACAGCAAAAAGACTTCGTAGGCAGATCCCGCAGCCCGTACTGTCACCATGAAAGTCAGAGCGCATCCGCGAGCTTGAGTAGCGACTGGCTTGGTCTTTGAACCACGGCCCTTCTCTTCAATGCAAGCATTGGGACACCATTCAGCCCTGACATCCACACGTTTCCCCAAATCTGTAGCTCAGGGACTACGTATTTGTTCTGCATTGGTTGCAGAGCACAAGCTTTCTGATCAGGCAGATATTCAGGGGTTTATTTTCACGGAGGTTCCAGTCTCTCCACAGTCTAAGTTCGAGAACAGCTAGAGGCGTCCGCCATCTTGCTGAGGCATCATACCCATGGTAAGCGTTCACAGGAGGTGCGGAACGAAGACCCCTTCTACTCTGCTTCAGAGAGGCATTTCCAATCTAACCTATCCTCGACCAGATACCAAGCACAGGAACTCCAACTCCAACTCACCCAGCAATCCGCGCATGTCGAAAAGGCCCTGCTTCTGCAAGTAGAGTGTGGTCTGCAGCCCGAGGCGCCTGGACATCCTCTCCACCTCCACTCGACCATCCGCAATGACCTTCTCGCGCGCCACCAGCTCCTTCTGCGTCTTGATCACGTCTTCCTTGGTGTCTGCAATCTCCTTGCGGAGATCCGCCTTGGCGTCTGCCCACTCCCGCAGCTTGTTGTTGTACCACGCGGCCACCGAGATGACGATGGCAGGGGCGCACTCTTCCAGGGTACGCACCAACCAGGCCGGCAGGTTCTGGAAGACGCACACGGTTTGAGCAAGCTGCCACGAATGTTCACTCCAGCAATGCAAAGTAAGCATGCATCAAGCCATTGAAAGATTGCCTAGAAGCCAATGGGTCCTGGCTCCATCTCAACTGACGAGATGACGACGATGGGCTTGAAAGATACCTAACTTGTGAAAATTGACAAGATCATATCCGAGCAGTGTGGATTGCTTATCAAGCTTGCAAGGACATCGCCCACAGACAAGCCAAGGGGAGGGACAGCTACTCAACCGGCGCCATTTAACGGTCTGCAACGTGCTCAGCAAGGTGACTTGTCATTGCAAGACAGATCGCAATTGTCAACCTCAAGCTAATGAATTACCTGAAGCAGCTCCGGCTCGTGCAGGGTGGTGGTCCCCATACCCCTGTTGTCCCTCATGTTGTGCAGGCTCCGAATCCCTTCCCCTGTGCGCTGAGCATGAAAAAGGTCCGAGTCAGATGACATCAAAGTAGACAGCCTGAGCAGCACTTGATGAGTCAAGAATGGTCATGTATATGCAAAGCGTGCGCTCAAGGATGAAGGCTGCGACCTTAGCTTTCGCAATCTTATGAAACCTGACCGCAAGCAGCCGGGTACACGGTGCGAAACCACCTGAAAGGAGTACAGAAGTTTCTCTATTCAGCGAGCCTGCCCAGGCACCTGCCTTCGCTGACAGGCAGAACTCAATTTGAGGAGTCTCATTCCTAACAGGTGTAAGAGCCTGTACACTGATGACCCCCACACTCAACCTTCCTGAGGGAGACACCCACAATCCTGACGCTCTCAACCCTGGAGCTGTGGATTACGAACCAAGGGCCTGAAAGATATCTGCCGCTGAAGTCAGAGAAACGAACCCTACAAACCTTGTGTTGCTTGATGGGCTTGCAAGGAGGGGAGGCTCGCACAAGCTAAGAAGAGGGGGACTGGTCAAGAAGCGTCACGACGAATTGTGGCAACGAGCTTCTGGGGAGGTCTCAAGAGAGAAGATACGAGTCTCTAGCAGATGGATTGCCTCATCATCGATGGGTTGGGCGCCAGTAACCACGGTCCGAGAGGTCTGAGTATAGAAACATTCCAGGTCAGTGACATCAAACTTATACAATCTAGGCAACAGTGAAGTGCACAGGGTGAAAATACTTCCCAAATGTAAACAAGGGTAAGGAGCCACAAGCTGTGGTCTGAAAACCTTTGCAGAAAGCGGTTCTATGGAACCAAAAAGCTCTTTTAATGCATTCTTATGAGAGTAAGGCAAAGCAAGAATCAACGATGCAGCCTGTTCAACAAGGGGTACACAATGGGCATCCACTTGTCCAGACGCCTACCCGACTGGAGTCAATCCCCCCTCTGCTGTAGTTGGTGGTCGTGAGCTGGTGCAGGGCCTGCGGGAGCTGCGCCTTGCCCGTCTCTCCCAGGGCAGTGGCGAGGGCCGCGGGCTTGTGGAGCTCAGCGGTTGCAGGGACGTCTGCAGAATCATGGGGACAGCACTATGGATCTACGAGAAGATTTGAAGGTTTTGGAAGTGATTCACGGAAGTGGTATTCAAACGGTGAAATGAACTTACAAAAGAACAGCTGAGGTTGGGAAGACAAGGAAGCCAGAGCAAAGACATCAGCGCAAAAGGGCAAAATGCAACTGCTGGCAGGGATCTGCACATTCTACTGGAAGGAAGCCGCCTCAATCTTAAGGGCATGCAACTCTGGGTAATAACTGGCAGCTGAGCAGCTGGCAGCTCTGCAATCGCACGCTGTCTGCAAAAAACCTGCTTTCTGATCAGGGCCAGAGCTCGTTTTCTCTCTTTCTTTTGCTTTTCCTGCCAGAAACCCCCCCTCCAGCACAAGCTGCTCATCAGGCAGAGCTCACAAACTAGCATACGCCCGCTTCGTAAAGAGGTGGGAAACAGAAGCTAGCAACTTTCAGCAGCTATGCGATCAGAAGCATTTGGGGTCTGACCAGGGGCGTCTCCCGAAAGTGCCGCGAGGCTGCCAGAAGCGCGTCTTCTCCAGCTGCTCTACGCAGCTTGGACGCTGCCACAATCTTTATGGCCTTGGTGATCTTCTGAAAGTTCACTTCATGCTCACCTAGATCGCATCCACTCTTGACTTTTTTTGTGCAGATTAACAGCAATTCTGGCATCTTCGTGAGAGAATCCCTCCAAAGACTGGCTTCGCCTTCAACAGCCTTCAGAGAGCCCCAAACACTGCAATTCAGGTTCCCTGTAGGCCAGTAAACTTACCAGCAGGTTGTGACGCACTTCTGGAAGTAGTGGTGTGAAGATCACTGCACATAACCAAGCGGATGCTAAGCGCATGCATGAGGCTGGCAACCAGGAATAAATCTAAGTGAATATCCCCGGCCTAACCATTCCGAAGGCTCTTGATTCAGCAAAACGATTGGGAGGGAAGCCAATCGCAGAGCGTGGTTGCAACTAAACTGTCCACAAAAGGCGCGACTTTTTGGAGCTCTTTACAACAAACGAAGCCTGAGCATACCACAGCCTGCACAGCGAATTCTGGGATCGAGAATTTAGTAACGTTGAAAGGGCATCGCAGGCCTCCATTTGCAGACGACATGGACTGTTGCCAGCTTCACTGCAAGGGGGGCCCTGACCCATTTTACAAGTCCTCTCTAACAATTTGAAGTCAGTCAGCAGGGTTATCACCAGAAAGATCCTCGTAACCCTCCAACCGATTTGCCCCTGAAAATACTCGATGTTGCAATTTCAGAGACAAGACTTTTGTCAAGAAGCCCTTTGATCGGAGTAGAGGAAACCCTATTTCCACTTCCCTTGCATATCAATCAGGTTGCCTCTTACATTCAGACATACTTGCTGACATTCTGATAATCTTAGCAGGCAGTCATCAACCTCCTCTTCAGCTGCGAGAGCCTCGTGCGCTTGACTGAACCCAGGATCAGCTGGACAGAATGCTGCACGCCGGAAGATTCCTACACGCCGGACAATCGTACACCGAGCAAACCCTTGCAAATCCAAACGACTTAGTAATACTTCCCTAGTTAACCTCATCCTTCAAGATCCTGCATTTGTACATCATATTTCACTGCTGTTCACCTGTTCTCCGTTTTCTCAGCAGAGAAAGTTGATACAAAAAAGAAGGGAAGAAAGCTCGCCTGTTCATGAGGTTCTGCACCGCAAGGGCTCCCCCGAGCTTCTGTTCCAGAGCCGGCGCCAATCCCTGAACGAGCCCAAGCACCCGCCGAGCTGCTCCCTGCATAGCCATGCTGGCGGCCCCGCACGTCAGGCGTCCTCCTGAGAGTCAGAGTGACTGGTACTTGACGCAACTGAAACCCTGCCCCACGCAGCTCCCTGACTCCTGACAGTGAGTCGGGACACCTCCAATCAAGTGGGTGGGAACGGTCTGCCACAGCGCGGTAATGGTGAGTGCTGGGCCCTCAGAGCAGTACACTGTACCGGGCCCTTATGGCGGATAGCTTATACGACGGGCGGTTCTCCCCGAGCAAGGTCACGGGTTGCGCCGGGCCCCGCACCCCGCCTCTAAAACCTCGAAACCCCGCCCGGGCCACAATGTCACGCGCCGTGCGCACCCCGCCGGGGCGGCGCGACCTTGCAATCTAACCAAACTTCAGCGGACGAACGGGGCCGCAAGTTGAAACCCTCGATCATCTCCGCGCCGTCGATGACCAAACAGTAATTTAACGAGCAGTCATCGACGGTTCGCAAAATTCGAGGCAGTCCCCGACCAGGTCGGCACCGTCGATGACTTTTCCGTACGGTGACTCAAGAAAATCGACCTTTCCTGACAGGAGCGGGGGGCTGTCGAGGGGGGGTCGAGGACTTTGCATCTGTAAGTACTTACGGGTTTGGTGCACCCGTCAAAAAGGACAAGTTACGGTACAGTACGTCGGTCGGGATACTTACGGCCTGGAGGTGCCGTGAAATAGCAAGTACTGCGACCGGGACTCCGGGATCGATCACTCGGAATTCGAAACTGCCCCCTTTAGCGTCGGGATCGGACCACCGGGCGCGAAAACGCCTCGTTTTCAGGCAGCAGGTTGCCCGGAGCTTACACTCGGGCTGGTACTCGGACCGCCGGGACCTGCAAGGGCCTGCACTTGGTACTTCAGTGACACAGAAGGCAAATCGGGGCCAGAGACGGGTTACTAGTATGTCCGACCTGAGTGCCGAGTTGGCTTCAGACTCGGCATTTTTTCTCAGGTCCACAGCACCCGCCCAGAACGCAGCGCTTCACACAACTCTCCCAGTCGGGTCTGCAGTCCGAGCTTGTGCAGCTGTGACTATCGATGGAAATGCGGGGGCCCATCCCGAGCACTGCTGTCAAATTCTCAGACGTTGGAAGCGTTCCAGCAGCAGTTCCACCGCCTCCGTCCGAGGGGTTGGGAGGCGGACGCACTTCCTACATCAGAAAGCAGGGCACATGCGACGGGGACTTTGCTTTCGACTACGGGTACGCTTTTGCACTGCACAGAGCGGAGGCATTCGCCAGGGATGGCTTTGGTACTGCTTGCTCTGGTCTCAAGTGCAAGTCGAGTGCACCGGTGTACTCCCGCAAGAACCCACCCTTCCACTAGGAGCGGACTTGGAACAGGGGCGGTGCAGTGATTTGCCCAGTTGAAAGGGGGGTCATCTCATCTGCCTTCGCTGCGTCGACGCTCAGTACGCGGGTGGAGCACCCTTCATCTCAGTGTGCACCGGGAAGCCAATTCACCGAGCGGACCTGTTTGCAAAGCACGAGGCATTTCT